AAGAGGGGACCGCCGACTGCAGCTCTGGAACAGGGTCAGAGGGAGCAGTCGACTGCGGCTCTGGAACAGGCTCGGAGGGGGCCGGCCACTGCGGCTCGGAAACAGGCTCGGAAGGGGCCACCCACTGCGGCTCAGGAACAGGCTCGGAAGGGGCCGCCCACTGCGGCTCGGGAACAGGCTCGGAAGGGGCCGCCCACTGCGGCTCGGGAACAGGCTCGGAAGGGGCCGTGGAGGCTTGGAGCGCCCACTGAGGTGCCTTGGAGGCTTGGAGTGCCCGCTGAAGGGCCTTGGAGGCTTGGAGCGCCCGCCGAGGGGCTCTTGGAGCTGATGGAGGTGGCAGGAACTAAAAAAAAATCTTCCCTCTCCCCATAAAAAAAAGCTCCAGAGGTCTGACTCCGGTATATGAGGAGCTCTGAGGTTGGCTGGATCCTTCTGTCATGAAACGGTGTTTGTTTGGAGGACCCAAATGCAGAGACCAGTTGGTAGAGGTGAATTAAAGTCGGTTTATTAAGGTTCACAGGTCCAGGGGCAGGAATCAACGTCCAACAGAAAACAACAAACGCACCTGAACCAAAACTAAGAGCCAGGGAGAGACGAGGTACACAGACAGAAGTTAGATGAGGATCCTGCAAACAGGAACTGAAGAGGGAGTGCTTTTAAAGGGGACAGAGACAAAGAGAGAGCTAACGAGGGGATTAAAAACAGGTGAAGGCAGAACAGAAAACAGAGCAAGGGAGGACACAAGAGGGCAGCAGAGGACAACAAATGGCAAACCAAGAAAAACAGGAACAAACAGACCAAGACTCTGACACCTATTATGTTATTCTTATACATTATTCTAAGGTCCACATTTGTGTGACCATTTTCAATAATCTTTCTGCTGGTGTAAATTTGCCCATTGTGGGACAATAAAGAGATTTTCTATTCTATAAAAGGAGCAGAAATATATAAGTAAATCTAAACAATTTATGTATAAAAATATATCTGCAAAATCTTTAATATTCAACAACAAAAAACACTTAGTTAAACATAATGTGCAAAACAGCAATAAAAAAATGTTACTATCAGATTTATAGTCCCCAGCCTGCCGATATATTAGAATCTGTCCTTAAATTACAGCCAAACCCATTTACACAGTAACAGATAAAAACCTTTTAGATAAACCAAACATTACTGCCACATATCTGACTCAATAACCATTAAAACAACTATTATCATTCATTTCAGACGGAACTATTCACTGACTTGTATTAAATTAAACTGAACTTCCAATATTCACCACTGCTTGGCGCCAAGTAACCTTTCCTCCAATCACGGAGCATGACGCGTCCTAGGTTTTCGAACAGAGCAAGAGAGTAACTAAAGACTAGTGTTGCGCCGATGCCATTTTTTGGCCCCGATACCGATACCCGATACCTGGCTGTGCAGTATCGGCCGATACCATAATAATGTAAAATAATTGCCATCATGGCTTTGTCAAACTGCTGCCTACCTTTGTGAAGCAGGAAAAAATTTAATACTAAGTGAATCCAGTAGAACTTTTTATTGCCTACCAGGAGTGGGTGACAATAGTTGAATAAACTTATGGCTCTCAAACTGGTATCGGTGCCCTATTCAAAAAACTCAAAAACTTAAAATGTTGTTGAGCAACATTTTGAGGCAATTACAAAATCAGGTGTTCTCTGTAATGTTCAGGAAATGTGACTTTGTTCAAAATCAAATAAAATTTGTTTCACAAAATCATAATTTAATTTACAATTTTATTTATAATTTTTCAGTTTTGTGTTATTTTAACTACTAGTGTGAATTTCTAATTTTATTTAATTAATGTCAAACGCACAACCATATATTACTTGGTGTGATAGATAGATAGATAGATAGATAGATAGATAGATAGATAGATAGATAGATAGATAGATAGATAGATAGATAGA